AGTTCACCGTGTCCAAACGTCCACCCTAACCCCTAAATCACAATTTAGAGTGGACTTTATAGTGAACTTAGTTAACTTACCATTCGGATAGATGAACGCTGCTTTTTTGCATCCCGTTGGTCATGTTAACTCCTCCTCCATCGCGCGGTGCCTGCGCCATCTTTGTTATTAGTTGCCACTGTTAGGTAGCAACAGCGGTTAGCCCTGTGACAACAAATTCCATAATACTTTGTGTGGAGAGCTCTCCGCACAAAGCATTCTGGGATGTATCTCTTCTACAGCCTTCTTTTCTTCTAAAATGGTTCGTAGACACCTTTTCTCTTATGATCCTCGGCCATTTTCAAAGAACCGCGGTGACAAAGCTTGAGCTTCTGTCATGATCTGGCCTGTTTGCTCTCCCTTAATTAGTAATTCCTCTCACCTGCCGTTTTCCCTCCCTGCCTCAATTATTATTTATTCCTCTCACCTGTTTCCTCTGGTTTATATTCAGTTCAGCCTGAGCATTCAGTGCCAGATCATTATTTGTTTTATGTCAGTCTGTCTGTTCAGTTTTATTTCATGGTTCCTGTCCTGGATCCTAGCTGCCAGTGGAAAGAGGTTTTAGTGTTTGTCTCGTCTCCTGATCGTCCACTGTTCCTCCCCCCCGCGGAGTCCTCTGGGTTTTTGGCTCAATATGTGGGGAGGTTCAGTTTTTATCCAGTAAGCCTGGCTCCAGGGAGGAGACCAGTTTAAAGTCCTGCATCAAGTTCTGGTTCCACGTCCTGTCTCTGCTACCCTCTTCCACTGAGTCTGCTCATCTGCACCTGATCCTGTCTGCTCCTGTGTGTGACCACCTGGTCACGCTTTCGAACCCTGTCAGACACTGAACCCTCCTGGGAGCCTGTGGATGCCTGGAAGTCTGGATCCTGCCACCTGTTTCTGTTCCTGCCTGATCTGGATCCTGTTCCTGTCTGTTCTGGATCCCTGACCAGGATCGGCTTCCAGCATGTCCTCTGCGACTGCAGCACTTGGGGACATTCTAGAACTGGACAGTTAAACCAGGTAAGCGGCCAACTCAGATAATCATCTTCTGTCAGATGATCATGGTCACTTACCTGTGTTTCTCCTGCAGTGTCTGTGATTGGGCGGTGCCCCGCTCCCCACCCTGATGTGTCCGTGGGCCACAGCTCCACTTTAGTTTTTGTTTTATTTAATAAACTTTTTGAACTTTCCTACTGACTGTCTCTCCTTAAATACTGGGTCCATCTGTCCTCGGTTCATGACAGCTTCATGAAACCGTAGCTCACCAAACATATGCCTGAAAGTAGGAGAGTCAACGTGGAAAAGATGTTTTGTTTCGTTTAGGTCGGATGAATGCGACCTGGCCGTTCACACACAGGTCGCACTTGAAAAGATCAGATTCGTATCGGATCCATGACCACATAGCCAAGCGGGCTGGGTCGCATTGGAAAAAATCAGATCTGTGTTGTTCAGACTGCCATGAAAAGATTAGATCCAGGTCGCAAGGGACCAAAAAATCAGATTTGGGTGACTTCAGGCTGCGGTGTGAATGTAACCTTAGAGTAACTTAGACATATCACAGGAAGTGAACGCAGTACGTCTCACCAACAGCAACAAAAGTAACATATTCTCTCTTCTCAACCACGTCTCTAAAGTTTTACCTCAGTATTGTTATTTTATTTTTTTATAGCATCAATGCCAAAATGTCATGTAATGCCATGGGGCTTTATGAAAGACTAGCGTGTGAAACTGAAATGGAGAAGCAGAAATCCTTTGCATGTTATCTGAAAAACTAAAAGTCATGGAAAAGAAAAGCTAACAAAGTTGCAGGCCTTTATAGAAAATAAATAAATAAATATATATATTTTCATATAAACAAATACATAGACTGGAGTGTCGGAGTTACTTTGACAAAGCTCTCCTCTCTGCTCTCCGTGTTTCTCACTGTAGCTTTTGCATCCGATCAGTAAACAGATGTTTACATTTCCTGTTCAGCAAAGGAACAATTTGTTCTGCACCAAATAACAAAGTTAGATCTGAATATCATTCCTAGTAACGCAGCTCTGTTCCCACAACATATTTTGATTATCTGATCTAGCCTCACCAGTATTTAGATTATTCCAGAACTGGTGGCCATTTTGTGTCCCCAACATGAAGTTATTTCTTCTTGTTGGGTTTATTGGCGGTTGGCAACAAAACATTTAGTAGCATTTCCGCCACTTACTGGTATGGATGGGGTTCAAGTGGCAGCCTGGTTTGTTAGTGGAGGACATTCAACTAATGCTGACATGACTGATGTTTTATGAGCCATTTTTTTTTTTTTAGCTTTTTGAAAATAGTGAATGTTGTGAGTTCTCTGGTGATCTGAGGGTCAGAGTTCCTGTCCTGAGATGCTGGGACTCTTTGACTAAAAGCAGTTTTACGCAGAGGACCAACTCCTCTGGCCGACCCTCCTGTTCCTGTCAGTGTTTTTCTGACCTTTACAAACTGACTGAGTGGAGGAGATGACAGGCAACGGATTATTTTATAAAACAGACACAGGTTTGCTTACTTGATTACCGTATTTTCACGACCATAAGGCGCACCGTACTAAAAGGCGCTGGTTTTATACACCGGTACAT